CACATGTGATGCCGCAGGGCAGACAGTCTGCAATGTCTGGCTTCAAGGAAGGACTTTGTGGAGCCAGTCCTTAGGTCCTTATCAATTCAATGAAGCACTTCATGCCACTGCTTCTGCTTTCCATAGTGCTCTTGGGCCCTTTCTGTCTCTCCCTCTCTGAGTGAGACAGAGAAAAGATGGTGATGGTAAGGTGACACGATCGGGGGGATGCACACAATTCTCCCTCAAGACAGAGCTCACATTCTTTGTTCCCTTGCTTTTAATCAGAAGGGGTGTTTCTAAACTTCTGCTGCACTGCCAAATTTTGGCAAAACTGAGCAGCAGAAGGGTGATAAGGACCCTGTTGGATTCCAAGGGTTAGACTAACCTCTGGGCCTGACAGGACAGTGGTAGTAGTTTGCCTCATGCCTGAGTTGATGGGACAGCTCAGGTTGCTACTCTGCACATCTAGCAGGAGGGGGCACCACATATCCCAATGGTTCCACATAAGGCCCCCAACCATTTTTTCAGAGGCTGCTCAGAAACACAATTCTCCCTCAAGACAGAGCTCACGTTCTTTGTTCCCTTGCTTTTAATCAGAAGGGGTGTTTCTAAACTTCTGCTGCACTGCCAAATTTTGGCAAAACTGAGCAGCAGAAGGGTGATGACGACCCTGTTGGATTCCAAGGGCCTCTGGGCCTGGCGAACTCACAGAAAGCTCTCTGTGAAGCTGCATGTGAGAGGGAAAGAATATATACGTGCAATAGATACATTAATAAGTAGTGTAAGGAAGATAGCTAAACAGAGCATTAGCATATTATGAAGACAGACTTGGAAACCTGTTCCCAAACACAAAGACAACATTCAGATATACTGGCCATCCACTACAGTCTGAATAAAACAACTCAGGAAAAAATACCTGTGCCATGCGATTTTGATGCAATGTATAGGTGGATACATAATATGTATTATTATGGACATGGTTTAAGAACCTCTGGAATGCAACGATTTGTATAGCTGCAAATGACAAGAAAGGTGAGTTTGGTTGAAAGTGTGTCATTCCTTCTAACATTAAATCTGTCTAAAAAATACCTGCCTACAATGCAACAATAAATTACCTTCAGCAACCCATCAATTACCCTAACAACAGGGTCCACAAGTCCAGGCCAAGAAGTCCCCAGTCTACAGAGCAATTTCCAAAGGAGGTTTTTATTTTTCTTAAGTGCATTGCAAAAGAGGGAGGTGGGAAGCAATGTACATATGCTGTTTTGCTTGCCTAGGAGAGTATTTTTCAGATACAAGACCAAAGAAGAAGAGCCTGAGGCTTTTCATATGTTGTCATCCTCCTGCCAGGGGTTCCTCTCTCCGAGGGCCTTTCGCAGCTCTTTAGCTGACTTTGTCAATTGAGTGACTGTGGAAGGAAGGAAGGAAGGAAGGAAGGAAGGAAGGAAGGAAGGAAGGAAGGAAGGAAGGAAGGAAATCTGCAGGGCAAACTTAATCAATTTAACTAGGAGACCCTAATGGAATCAATATTTAGGATAGAGTAAGATCTGTCAGGATTGAAGTGCAATGGGTTTCTTATGGAATCCAAACAGTTTCCCCACAACCAGAGAACTCTCTGAATTGTTCAGTGCAAAGTATACATTGCCTTTATCCCATACCAATAACTTTAAATGGAAGACTTAACTTTGTCCTAAATGACAATGCCCACGTGGTGCTTTAGTAGCAGTGATCCATTTTGGGGAGTGGTCCGGCGGGCCAGATAGGCAGGGAATAAATAAATAAATAAATAAATAAATAAATATGGAGAAAACCATTTTAAAGTGGTCAAAATGTACTCTGTGGTCCAACATTGGGGACGGATACCTGATTTCCCAACTCTATGGAACAGTTTTAGAGAATGCATGGGGTGGATGTGAGGTAAAACTTGGTGGAATAACACCTCTTTCCAATTCTGCTAAAGCATCGTCAATGGAATCACCTAAATAAATAAATAAATAAATATGGAGAAAACCATTTTAAAGTGGTCAAAATGTACTCTGTGGTCCAACATTGGGGACGGATACCTGATTTCCCAACTCTATGGAACAGTTTTAGAGAATGCATGGGGTGGATGTGAGGTAAAACTTGGTGGAATAACACCTCTTTCCAATTCTGCTAAAGCATCGTCAATGGAATCACCTCACTGGATTCTATTCATTGTAGTATGTACTTGAACAGTGCCTTTAAACTGGGAGATTCTACCTAGCAGTTAGCCAGCAAGGTTTACACCAGTGGTTTTCAATAGCTGCTACATATATCACAGGGATATCAACAGCATTATTCTAATTCTTAATTTTATTAGAATCATTATTTTTGTTTGCCCATGCTTCAGTCATAGCGAAGACATTTATTCCCAATAAGACTTCTTTGTTTTTAAATTTTACTACCTTTATTGTTAACATAGCAGTAAAGTTCACAGTCAGTAGTATTACAACATTCAGCTACAGTTGGAATTATTATTTTTGTTTGCAATAATTTTGTTTGCATTTATTCCCAACAATGGTTTTGTTCTTTTGTATTAAAACTTACTGTAAAGAATAAATATAATAATAATGTGATGCCTGAAAACACGTGTCCTTCTTAGAAAAAGCAGCCACTTTGTTCGTATTGTAGAAGGGCCCTAGTCCTTTGATGCTGTAATTGATGATACATAACATATGAACAATTGAGAAACCTATCACTGTGAAATCTGATGCGGTACTTCCTGTGAGACCATTCATGCACTGAATCTACTTTTAAAACGTATATGAAAAAAAAACATTTAAAATGCACATACTGTCATCTTTTCTTAAAGAAAGCCTGAATATGGAATCTGAGGATCTATGCATTTTTTAAAATATTGCTTCTTTGAGGAAATGCTTCCATATGTAAAGAAAAGAGTGCAACTGATGTGTTTTAAGATGTGGAAATAAAAAAGTGCCCAAGTATCTCTATTTAAATATCGATTCAAACAGCCGTTTCTTTGCTTTGTAATCTGCTCACAGCTGCAAGAGGTTGGGGCATGACAGCTGAAGCTTAGCTTCTCACACATTTTCTTCTCAGTTTCCAGTGCTGCCACTGGGAGTGTTCACATGTTCCTTCTATTCTTCAAGTTCCTGGGCCAGATTCGTTGCTAATATATAGAACCCCAACTCTGTAGCACACTGAAATTAATATGGCAAGAATATAGAGCAAGAATTCTGGCAAAGCTCTGCAGACAGGGAGGATAGGAAGCCGCCGCCGCCGCCCTCACCACTGCCCCCATCTTCCAAAATCTTCCAAACGACAAAGCCCCTAGCCATACTAGCCACAGGATTATGGGAGTTTTGATCCCCCAAAAAGGTAACAATAAACAGTAACTTTTCCATCCTCCGTTACAGAGAGATGGCTCCTATTACCATTCTTCTCTTTTTCTTTTCCCTGTACAGTCCAAATAAATCCTTAGATTTTAAATTCCTTGGGACAGGGGCTTGCCTTTATATTCTTCTCCGGTGGTTCCCAAATGGAAGGCTGTGGATGATGTTATTGATTGGTCAGCAATGCCATAATTAGCAGAGGGGAGTGAAATGGGTGAACTAATCATAAAGAGAGACCTGAAGAAAATTCCTAGTGATGGAATCATTCCCCCTTTTCCTTGAAACATGCCAGCTATTAAAGATCAGGTGCAATCTGTATCATGAATAAACTTACTAATAGTAACAAGCACCATATAAGGTCTTTGTTGTTATGCTCCATCAAGTCACTGTCAACCTATGGTTACCCCCATGAATTAATGGCTTCCAGGAAGCCCTCTCATTAACAGCCCTGATCAAATCTTGCAGACAGTGGTATCCTATATTAAGTCAACATGCTTCATATTTGGTCTTCCTCTTTTCTGTCTTCAGCTTATCCTGGCATTATTGTCTTTTTACAACTATTCTTGTTTTTTCATGATATGCCCAAAATTAGCTTTGTTTTAGTCATATTAGCTTCAGGTTAGAGGTCAAGCTTGACTTGATCTAGAACCCTCAGAACATTTACAGTGGTGCCTCGCTTAGCGACGTTAATCCATTCCAGGAAAAACGTTGCTAAGCCATTTAATCACTAAACGATTTTAAAAAGCCCATAGAAACGCATCAAAACGTGTTTAATGCGTTCCTATGGGCTTAAAAACTGACGTTATGCGAAGATCCTCCAAAGGGGCGGCCATTTTGGAACCACCGATCAGCTGTGCAAAAAGGGTTGCTTTGCCATGATCGCTTCCCTGCGATCATGGCAAAGCGATTTTTTCCCATACGGGCCATCGCTAAGCGATCACTCTGGCGATGGCCAAAACCCCATCGCTAAGTGATTTCATCGCTCAATGGAGCAATCGCTAAGCGAAGCACCACTGTATTTATCTTTCTGGTAATCAGTCATATCCATGAGCATTTGACAGATGCTATCGATTCACTAGATGTTTTAAATGGCCTGCTTAAATTATCATTTGCTATGTTTTCAATGATAGGTTAATAGTCTGGATAACAGAAAAGACAAGAAACCCCTGTTCTACTCTGTAAAGTGTATTCTTCTCTGATGTTCCTACACAACTGACAAATAGAAATATAGTTCAAATAGACACCATTTTGCAAATAAAGATAAGACAACCATTCTTCCTCCACTAAAACTACAAGCAAGAGTTTTTGCAAATCTCTGATTTACCTTATGGGGTGAAAGTAAACCAAATCAGATGACGAAGACATGCCTAATATTTTTGTTTTGGAAAATATGTTAATTAAATTGTGTGAGTTGCCTGCAGTCCTCAAGGCCACAGGATTTGGCGTCAGCTCTAATGAGGGAAAGATCATAAAAGGAAAGGCTGATACCACACACTGTCTCTGCCCCAGGAATTATTGTGGGAGTTTACCAATATGATGCCACTTTCAAACACATGGCTAAAACAAAGGTGGATGTTCTGGTCATATGGCCATTTTCTAGAAGATAATAGCCTCTTAGGAGAATGTAACACAAAATAACCTTACCCTGTTATCCTCTTGTATCTCCCAGTCACTGGAGGAGATGATGGTATGTTGCCCTTGAGTGCAGTTGGAAAACTGGAAGAGACTGGAAAACATCCGCCTGTTTTCCTGGGTATCTGGAAATATTGCATCCTGGAAATTCACTCCATGTGGAAGGAGGTTATAATTCTCATCCATTCTGAAAAGAAAAATTAGGGATAATAGTTAAGTAACGTACATCAATTTTTAAAAATACATCCAGACATTTTGAACCCTCCATGATTCTCCAAACTAGGCAAATGCTAATTATATAGCCTCAAGTCCTTAAACTCAAAGTTCACTTTTATAACTATTTCTTTATGTTTCCTACCTTTACCTGACAAAAAAAGCAACAACCCTCTAATGTTGTCCAAATGGACACCATGAAAAAAAACACAAAAATAGGCTTTGTCTCATATCCCGTTATAGAAATACTTAACAACAAGTTAAAACTTGTATCTGTTACATAATAGTAGTCAATGGTTTTGTAATTTTGATTCACTATGCCCAGTATTTTAGAACAACAGCAACAATACTGATGATGTGACATCAAGTCAAGAGTTTTCTAGGTACAAGTACTCAGAAGTGGTTGCCCATTCCCTTCTTCTAGGTGTGCTTTGGGACTATGCAATTTATCCCGAATTGCACAAGCTGGTTCTTCTCCTTGGAGGCACAGTGCAGAGGCAAACTCACAAGCCCTGGTGCTCCAACTCACTGAGCTATTCAGCCAACTACCATTTTAATGCCCACCCAATCATATATCCAGGTGGTGTGGTACCTGAAGGGGGAACGACATTGACAAATAATGTAGGAGATGCTGCAGGATTGAGATGGTCAGCATTGTTTTCTGTTGACTACTCAACATACCAATCAATGTGAATCAGCCCAGATTCTTCCCCATCTGTAGTTTTTTTCCTCCACTGCAGGAGCTTCTGGTTTTTGGGGTTTTTTGACAGCAGATGCATTTGCATCAGTTCAATCAGTGTGATGACTTGAGACCATGCAGAGAGGTTTGTAGCCATTCTACTTCAAGCCTTTCCACCCAGCTACAGTAGCAGTTAGACTTGTTGCCCTAGCATTTGGGCAGCTAGGTGACAAAAGGAGGGCAAGGAGAAAAGCAAGGAGTTGGTAGAAAGAGAGGAGGAAATTATCAATCAGCTTTGTTCGCAGTTTGTTAACGTAGTTCTGCTACAACCATGCCTCCTGAAGATCTGCAAACTAACTGCAAACAATGCTGTTCCCCCTTCTCCTGCTACAACCATGCCTCCTGAAGATCTGCAGGGCCACAGAGGACCTACCTTAACTAACTGCAAACAATGCTGTTTCCCCTTCTCTTGGCTGACTGCTGGCTGGTTTGTTGAAGTGAATTAACCTGACTTCTCAGTTGCAATCCATCCACATTTTTCCTACTGTGTAGGTGTATCTCTACTGATGATATTTCGGCGCCAGGTCAAAACCTTCCTGTTCCAGAAGGCTTTTAATTGAAATAACATTAACTGTGGGTCTTAATGATGGCAATTTTAATTGTATTTTAATTGTATTTTAATTGTATTTTAATCATTTTATTTTATTCCATTGAATTTTAATTGTTGTAAGCCGCCCAGAGACCTTTGGGTAGAGTGGGCGGCATATAAATTAAATAAATAAATAAAATAAATAAATAAATAAATCCATCCACATTTTTCCTACTGTACAGGTGTATCTCCCCTTTTGTAGATGCAGGACAGATAAGAGTCTCTTAATTCCACAGTTGCTGCCCATAGTATAAACATCAATTGCTAAACATGAGGGATAATTCCAGAATAGGGCAATATTAGAGTGATCCCATGTCATCTGAAGAGTCATATGTTTCTGAGTTTGGAAAAGTTAATTTTTGTTTTCTTATAATTCTCCAAACTAGCCCCTGCCTCCACCTGCAGCCAACATGACCAGTGCTAGCTGAGAGGTTCAAAAGTTGTTCAAAATGTATCTCTTCCAAGTTCTGCTATATTTAGCAAGGCAAGGAGAGATGGGTCAGAGAGAAATAATGACTGCATTTTCTGATTTGCATTGTTGTTGTGTTCTGTGCATTTTGATTAAAGTTCCAGTGCACATTGAAACCTTGTTTCTTCCTTTACCAATAATTGGGGATACTACTGAAATAGCACAAATCTTGTTTTATGAATCTTGTCACAGGAGATTGATTTACGATGCTGAATTTGAAAATATAATTTTGATTGTCACCTATGGAGGAACCTGTTAAGTTTTTCAGGTTAAAATAAAGCACTGGAAGGGGGAAACATCTGTGATTTGTAAAAATGGACATCTTATTCAGTAGCTACAGATCAAGATGAAGCACACCTGTCTGAGCCTCTGAAAGAGAAATAGGTTGATGCTATTTTTGTAGCAATGCCTGTTCCACAAACTATTGCCTGCTTCTCTTCCTTCAAAGGCGGGCCAAGGAATTACAAGACTAAAATGAGGTGTGATGGGAACAGATTCATCCCTTTGAAAGTAGATTTGTCCCAACCAGCTTGGGAGTAAAAGAAGGTGATTTTAAGAGCTAAAGTGGGACATGGATGATGGAGCTTAACCCCTCCTATACCTCCCTGTAGCTTTTCCTCCACTTCCCATAAGTGCTTTTCACCCACACAAGCTCACTGCTACGTCTGGAGCGCAGCTGAGATAAATGCACCTGGGGAAGGAGGATGCAGGGAAGTAGGACTGAAATGCTCCCTTTGCTCTTAAGGCCTGCCTCTCTCTCTCTTCAGATGCAGCAATGGCAAACCCAGGTATGAAAGCCTGCAGCTTCTTACAAGCTGCAATGCTGGTAAACACAATGCTTACCCTGGTTGGGAAGACAATTCCTTTCTTCACTAGGGGTTCACAGCATGATTTTAGGGCAGGGATTGGGAAAACTGACCTTTCAACTGCTGTTGGACTGCCAAATGCTATGATGCCTGACTCTTGGCCATGCAAGGTGGTGATGGGAATTAATAATAATAGTCATGTGCTGTCAAGTCAATTCTGATTTATGGAGACTCTTCTCAGGGTATTCCAACTAGAGAATACTCAGAAATCAAGTCAATTCTGACTTATGGAGACTCTTCTCAGGGTATTCCAGCTAGAGAATACTCAGAAATGGTTTGCTGATTGGTTGATTGGTTGGTTGGTTTAACTTATATGCCGTCTACACTACCCAAAAGTCTCTGAGCGGCTTACAGCAATTTAAATACAATAAAAAGATTAAAAGATAAAACAAAATACAATTAAAAATACAGTACTGTACTTTAAAAATTGCCATCATCAGGACCCACAGTTGATATTATTTCAATTAAAAATCTT